GCGTCCTGACATCATCGAGGTCAGCTCCAGGATTTCAGATATAATGATGAAGTTTGTGGACAATCTCTGTGCATCCTATAATTCATTGGAGAGAAGAGCGGAACGAGACAGGAAGAGAGCGCAGAAGTACTTCCTGGAGAGTAACAGGACCAGGATGTGCGGCCCACTGCAGCCGGTTAAATCAGAAAACTACATTATAACCTGTCTGTCAGCTAATAATAATGTTTTTGATTCAGAGCGTTGGCCTCAAAGAGCAAGATGGATCACAGGCTCAGAGTTTGGAAACTTCTGCATCTGTTTCAGCAAGTGGAGCAGAACAAAAGCAAAGCCAAGGTGACAGAGTTTACCTCTAATACACTCTACAAAAACATTTTAATGCAAATGCCTTTAGCATTTGATTAATTACAGGTATTGTTGTATGTGAACTGTGTTAGAGCACATTCAAAATGCAATGCAAATGTGTAAACACAAATACTTCTAGCCATGAAAGCTGAAAATTAAATGTTGCTACATATTTAGAATTAGCCAATAATAATAATACATCTGGTTTAATGGCACATATATTAGAAGAAAAGCGCCCTCTTGTGTACTGAGGTTTGTTAGAAGATTGAACGTGTAAAAGTATGTTTCTCAGCAAAGATTTTTTTTTTTTTTAGGACTAAACAATGTATGGCACATATAAAACTCTTCAGCATGATCTCTTGAAAAGTTCTTTCAGTCATTTATGTACTTCTTGGTAAATAAGGAAAATACTTAATTTGCTACATTAAGATTTGTTTTTCCATTCTTAATGTGTAGAAATGTCTGGGAATGTCAGCGTGAAATCTTCCGTTGAGTTTATGCTCTTTCTGTCTTTTTTATTTTTACACGATTAAAGAAATGGCATTAATAATTCAATGTTATTTATTCATGATTTTTATTATTTTATTTTATTTTAAATGGGTTCTCATGCAAAAGCTGTAAAATTCTTTCTGTTTTGCATTTTGCAGTGCGGATTGCCAAAAAGCAAATGCACGACCAGGTAAAAAGTTTTGCTAATGTGCACAAATATGATATACTCTGAATTTTATTTTGACTCATTTATATAGGTTTTGTAAAAGTAACAGTGTCCTCACACTTAAGGTTAAATACCTAAAAATACCAGAGATTTTCTTTTGTTTCACTCGTGTTTGTCACACGTTCACAGCATCGGCGGGAATCTGTTTATCTCAGAGAAAAGTTTGACAAATTGATGATCCCAACCAAAGGCTTCTTGAACTTCTGCATAAGATTATATTTATAACTCAGGTAATTTAGAGTATGTTTTCAGGCGTTTTCCACAATGTTTCAGTCTCTTTTATTCATATCTGTGACCCTGGACCACAAAACCAAAAATAAGAAATCAGGAAGGAGGCCAACACTTTTTCACACCACTGTGTATATATATATCTGCATCTGCAAATTGCATTTTTTTTTGCTCAGTTTGGGCCTCTGTTGAGCTGTTTTTCCTTTTTACGTATGAGCTCCATATTCTCACTTCATCATAACTGAGCCATAAAAACCTGATGTATCAAATATTATTAGTATTATTTTTTGGATATTTTAAAATGTTATCTGAAATTTCCATTAAAAAAATAAATAAATCTAATCTGACTATTGTTTCATATGTCAGGCTTTACAGGGTTAATGGTGGAAAAGGTGCAACAGCTCCATCTTGTGGTCATTATAGTGAACTTCAGTGGAAAATGTTTTCATTTCATTGTGCTTTGAGTTGAAATGCGTTTTCAGACCTTTGATTTGAAACCTTTCAGGTTCTTCAAGGAAGTCAGGAGCTGGTGGAGATGTCTTCAGCCAGCAGAGAGTGGTGGTCCATGATCCAGTCTCTGAGTTCAGAGCCATCCTCTGCGGAAAACCGTGGAGGTGTAACTCCTAACTGTACATTTTTATCCTTGGTTTCATTTTAAAACTTTACAAAAGCCACTGAATTTGTCTAAATTCTTTTGTAGGGAAATCAGGTTACACCAGTCTTCACCTGCGAGGACATACAGGTGGGATATTTATTTAACGTTTTTGTTATGCAGTACATTTTGAACTTTCATAAATGAATGCATGAATCATTTTAATACTGATTTCTGTCATTTGAACAATTAATCAGATGCAGTAATGATACTTACTGACATTTGTGCTGCTGTTTTCCCTCCAAAATGATGTCACTTACTGAAGGATGATATCATTCATAAATTACCTTTATTAGTTCAAACAAATTATAAAGACCAGAATGACAACGGTATTAAGGACACATGAAAGTTGATTATCAGTTAAATTAAATGGCCAAGAAAACATGCCTAGTTTGAAACATTTTTATTATAAAAAGCAAAAATGATGTCACTTCCTGGAGGATGATGTCAGTAAAGAACCGACTTTTGTTAGTTAAAAGAAATCATAGGGAATATTATTTAATTAATCTGCTACTTCTGTTAGCTAAAGTGACTATAATTGTAAATATAGGGAAAATAACATTTTGTTTTTAATTTTAAAGACAAAATTTCAAAAATATAAAAAATCAATGTCTTGTTTCTGTCAAAAATCTGTGAAATGTTAATACTTGTAAAAATGTAATGTTTTTTTTATTAAACCTTATTTCTAACTTTTGATTTGTTATTATTATTATTATTATTAATAATAATTATTATTATAAGTTTCGTTATGTACCCCCTTGCTGTATTTGTAATACTTTAAAATCAATAAAAAATATTGAGGACACGTGAAGAGTTGATTATCAGTTAAATTAATATGCATAAAAAACGTGCTTACTTAAAAAATGTTTATTGAAAGGAAAAATGATGAAACATCTGGAATATTTATGAATAAATTGTTAGTTTTTCATTGTAAAATTTGGTGCAACTCAGACAAAAATGTTGTGAATGTAATATTTTCTGAAGTATGTCATATAATGTAATGTTTCAGAGTGTGGTGGAGGATGTGCTGGAGGAAAACGGCTATTACAGCAGGTAATGTGGATTGAAGCTGTTTTCTGCTGGATTTCCTCTGCGCTCATTGACCGTCTGTGTCTGTCTGTGTGAGCAGCAGAAGTGACGTGGATTCAGGAGCGGGAACCAGACGAACTCAACCCCCAGCAGCGCTCATGTCTGCCCGACGACAGCCTCTCAGGTCAACCTGACAATAATCACATTATCAATCATAAGCTGATTATGTGTGTCTGAAGAACACGTGCTGATATTTGAAATATATTGGCACAATATTAGATTGCAATAATAGTCAGTGCACGCACACAGATGATTGACCTCATTTGAATCTGTGCACTTTAAGTGTGTGATTTTCCTTACAGATTCACACAAAACAGACATTTGAAATAAATAGAGTTTCAATATAAAATAGTTGTAACAAACGTTCGTAGTTCGGGAAGAAGGAGGCGGGAACCGGCGAATGTTCCAAGAAAACTTTAATAATAAAATAAACACAAAATAGCGCGACAGCCCCTCGCGGACGACTGTCGCGCACAAACAGAACCAAAACACAAAATAAAATCCAGGCCTGGTCCTCTCTCGTCCGACACTGTCGTCACTCCTCCTTTTATCCTTCCGGAGCTCCTCCGTGAGACTCGAGACCGGTGAGTGGCGCAGGTGTCGCGCATTAGCATTTACTCCACCGGCCTCGCTCCGTTCCCATGGCTCTCGGCCCCGCCCCTCTCGTCACAATAGTACTTTAGTTTTTACTAACTAAATTAATTTATTGCTTTACCCATGTTACAAATTGGTGGAAGTAGGTTTAACAAAACTCAGAGCATTTATATGTGATGTGTGTGTATTTATGTGTGTGTGGTATAATGACATTGTTTGTCATTGTTCAGTCAAAAGCCTGAGAGCACATAAAAAATCATTGATTGTTCTCTTTAATCCTGCAAATAAAGTAAAAAAAGAAAAAAAAGTAAAGAAAGTTTATAAAATTGAGAGAAATTTTTAATATTCTTTAGAATTTCTAGGACACAAATCAAATGTAAGACAAAATGTGTCGTGAAAATTTTTTCTTTTTCTTTTTTGGTAACACTTCACGTTAACATCTCATTTGTTAACATTACCTAACAATGAGCATGATATGATTTATTTATATAATATATACAGTATACTGTATATGCAACAGCAATATATAAACTTTTAAAATGGCATTTATAAATCTTTGTTAATGGTAGTTAATAAAAATAGATTTGTTCTTTATTCATGTTAGTTCACAGTACATTTAATAATCGTAAAAGATACAACATTTGATTTTGAAAATGTATTAAATGTGGAAATTAAGATTAATTAATGCTGCAATGTTGTAATGCTTTAAGTATTGTTAATGGTTAGTTAATGTTAACTAATGTAGCAAGTAATGTTAACAAATAAAATCTAATTGTGAAGTTTTACCTGTTATTTTATTTTATTTTACTTTATTTTATATTTAATTTTTTAATTTGTACTTTTTTAAATAAGAGAACAGTTTAGACCAAACTTTTTTTTTTTTAATTTACAAAAAACTAATTTATGTTTCTGAAGATTGTATCCTATCCTGTGTTTTCCTAATTAACCGATTTTAGAAATCATTTTGGAAAATGTTTGAAATATATACAGTATGCAAATTTTCTGATGGACCTACTAAATTTCAAATGTACACTACACAGCTCAGTATGGTGTGCACCGTATCCCACAATGCAATGCACTTGAGTATAATAAATAAACCTGAAGTGATATCAAGCACCTAATTTTTTAATCATCCAATTATTCAACCAGACTGCCAAGAGTTAATTGGCTAAAAACATCAAAATAACACATTCTAGGATAACCACTTGCTGAATGAAACGTAATGAGGTCATGATATAATAATGCCACATACTTGAGGCATTTATCATTGCATAACCTTTGCATCATTTTCATACGCTATTAAAGTAGCAGAACTATGTCGATCCATACACTGCTTATCAGTGGATAAAAACATGAAGTGCAATATAGAGGCATGACAAGTAAATGACAAGGAAATGTTTATTGTTTTGTTTTTATAACAGATATAAACAACTATACATACTGCACTGTTTTTATAAGGAAACAACAAACATGGACACACCAGAGCCTATCGAGAGAGTAGTACGTCTTTTCCTGTGGGTTACAGGCTGAGAAATGTCCATATTGTCAAGCTGTCTCCATATGCATAGAGTAAACCGGAAGCAGCGCATCCCAAAATAACTGGGATTGTAACATCGTTTCCCCGCTCCGCGATTATTACAGAGAAGAAAAACAACTAATGTTCCCCGTGTCCGTAAATGTGGCGAAAAGTGATAAGGCAATCTGTACAAATAAACTCCATCTCTTTCATAGTTTTGTTCACGTCCGCTATACACGTTTCCCGCTGCATAATGGAAGACTAATAACACCTCTCTGTACGTGGTCTATAGAAAAACGCCATTTAAAGTGACTCCGCTCATAAATTACAAGTCGGCACTGTTATTATGGTGTCAGGGTAGTCGAATGCACCCGATCTGTTCGTCGACACCTCGTGCAAAAGCATTGCCCCTGTCATACAGGATGCCAACTTGCTGCTAGCAACAGACATACATTCAGGGAAAAAATTACATCATATAATGTATATTTACATATACAACACACAATCAATCTTTTGGACAAGATACGACATAAAGCTGCTCTTATAGAAATAGGCATGCGTTAGCAGCTATTGCACATAATGAAAGGATGATACGCTGCTGACGAAGAGTCTGGTGTTTTACAAACACATGTGAAACGCAGACAACCTTTGCTTGTGCGTGATGAGCAAACCACAATTCCGAATGCGTCTTTATTCACAAAACAGTAAAAAGCCCGTTAAATACATTCAAGAGGGAAATTTACAGCCCAGGTTGGTCGGACAGCAAGTAGAGGGGGTTTAAGGTTGGATTTTGAAGGCGAGCAGCTCCTCGGAGTGCATGTTATTGAGCGAGCGCAGCTCAGGCAGCTTCAGCAGCAGCTTGGTGAAGACGGCGGCTTCGTTCGAGTGGGTTTTCATGATCAGGTTCCTCAGAGCTCTGATCAGGGTCTCCTGCAGGGCCTCCACGCCGCTTACGTCCTCGATGGCCGATCGGTCTGTGAAAACATGCAGAATTCATAAGTTTCACGAAAGAGGCCATTGCAGACACTAATACCAGTGAATGTATTAGAACTACTCAAATTATGCAAGAATTATTAAAAGCAAAACTAGTATGTATAAAATAGTTCAAAATTCACCCAAGATGATAAATATATATGTAAAACACATAACAATATAAATAATGTTATTAAAAATAAATAATAAATTAATAATACAAATGCTTAAAGATAAATCATTAATATTAATATATTAATTTAAATGCTTAAAAATGATTAAAAGTAAAACCAGTAGTATCAATAAATAGTTCAGAATTCACTCAAGATGGTGAAATTGCTAAATATAAAAATATATATAAAAATGTATAAATAATCAAATCATTTTAAATAAATAATTAAAAATAAATAATTTATAATAATATAATCATAGAAATTATTAAAAATAATTGCTAATATATTCGTATAAATTATTAGAAATGATTAAAAACAATATGTATCAATAAATAGTTCAAAAGTCACCCAAGATGGTGAATTTAGTAAGATAAATTGTTTAATATTTAAGGCAAGGCCTTAAATATAAAAATAAATGATAAATAATCAGTTAATAATATTATTAAAAATAAGTAATTTATTAATACTATAAATAAGTAAAAAATAATCAATCAATGAATAAATAAAAAATAAATTAGTAATATAAATGATAAAACATTATACATGTATCAATATATCAATATTTCAAAATATAAAAATAAATGATAAATAATCAGTTAATAATATTATTAAAAATAAGTAATTTATTAATACTATAAATAAGTAAAAAATAATCAATCAATGAATAAATAAAAAATAAATTAGTAATATAAATGATAAAACATTATACATGTATCAATATATCAATATTTCAAAATTCACCCCAAGATGGTGAATGCAGCCAGAGAAATTGTTAAAATATATATTATAAAATGTTATAAATACATAAACATAAATAAATTCCAAATAAACAATTAATAATTTTACTAAAATGTGTAATTTATAATACCTGCTGCCCAGTATATTCCAAACGGTTTCTTATTGGTTAATTGGTTTCAGTTTTGATGCTGCCTTAGAAGACAGCTTCCTATATAGGCAGTAGACAACAGGACGACTCACTAGGTAACAGTATCTCTTATACCCTAGCAGTGTTATTTTTAGTATTAATTGTATACTATTATGGTATTTATTCATATTTTGAATTAGCTTTTGTTCGCGTTTCTGTTTTTGAAGGGCGTACCTGCAGACACCAGCACCACGGCGGAGAAGAGTCTCATCTCTTCCTCGTTGAGCTGCAGGGCGGTGAGCTTCTCGCTGAACTCAAACATGCAGTTGAGCAGCTCTCCGGCGCCCATGGAGCGCAGCAGGTCCACGCTGTACGTCCTGCCACTCAGGAACGTCACGGTCCGCTCTTTCACATTGAACAACGGCACGAAGCGCACCATCAGCACCTGCGCGGAGGAAGCGGAGGAGAGCGTTAGGGGTCTGACGGATGCTTGCGCTGTCAGAAACGCACCGGGACTCATGGTGCTTTACCTCGAAGGTTCCCGCCTTGAGGAGGTGGACCTGGTCGTGTTGGGAGAGGTCCTGGAAGCCCGGGATTCGCTTGGCAAATTCCACAACTTCTCGTACGGCAGGGATGAAGCTCTTGGAAAACTCCTCCCAGATTTCATGACCGGGCTTGCAGGGGTCCACGAAGGGGGAAACGCTCATGGGACAAACCTGAGAGAAGACCAACAGAGTCACATTACACCAGGTACACTTTCAGAGTCACTTAAGAGCTAAAACAGCTCTGCCCCCAAAGCTTCATTCGTGCGCTCGACACAATGGCTGTTTAAAAAAAATAGAACAAATGATACATTCTTTTGACCAAATTCAAACTGTTATTCAAACTGTAAAACAGTATGGAATTTATTCTTTACAGAGGACACAATATCATACTTCACTGCTTCAAGCTTGAATTTTATATATATATATATATATATATATATATAAAGAGAAATTCAATTTTTTATGTATTTCTGAATTAATTAATAAATCAAATATTACATTATTAATAAGAATGAGCCTGTTACAAATCACATCA